AGACATTTTTAATTAGATGAAATCGGTTTGTTATTCAAAGCAACATTGGATAACACATTTTGCCAAAGGAGATAAATATGCAGGTGGGAAAAGAGGCGAGGAGCGTATCACAGTTATGCTGTGCACTAACATGTTGGGGGAGCGAGTCGGCTTTAATGATTGGGAAATCAGCCAACCCTCGAAATTTTAGAAACCTCAACATGAAAGACTAGCGGTAGTTTACAAGAATAACAAAAGCACTTGGATGACTGCAGCTATTTTCGAAGATGGGCTTCAACTTTTTGACAGAAAAATGCTGAGAAGTAAGCGCAACATTATGATGTTCGTTGACAATGCCACTTGCCATGCCAAATTTCAGCTACTTTATGTCAAATTGAGGATCCTGCCACCCAACATCCTGCACTAGTTCAATTCCATGACCGTTGTGTCATACAGGCGCTTAAATTGAAGGTTGAGAAAATACAGCTTCTGCACCTTATTACGATAATGGAATCCCATGATTTGAAGTTTATCGCATGATCATGTCAGTCGCAATTCAACTGGCTCCCACCATCCATCAGTACATACAGTACACCTTGCTGACCAGCCTGGCCCGTCCCCCTGAATCCACCCAGCGAAGCGGAAGTCTGCCTTGAGATTCGACGTTTGAAGCGGTTCAAGGCTGCCGGCTCAGACGGACTTCCTTCGGAGCTGTTCAACTACGGCGGTGGGGCGATCATTAACCAGTTGACTGCGCTGTTCGCAAAAATTTGACATGAATAGAAAGTGCCTTCTTCTTGGGGCGAATAAGTTACTGTCCCGATCTGTAAGAAAGGCACTCACACCTCATGTGTCAATCATCGCGAGATCAGTTTTATTTCAGTTGCCTCCAAGCTATTGTCATCCATTTTGCTTCGCACAATATCCCCAGTACGTGAATCACACTACCGAGAAGAACAAGCTGGTTTCCGTCCCGACCGCGGATGCGTGGAGCAAATCTTCACGGTCCGCCAGCTCCTCGAACATCGCCACATTCATCATAGGCCCACTATCATTGCATTCCTAGATATACGTGCCACTTTTGACTCCGTTGATTGATCTGCTTTATGGCGTTACTTGCTAAAGAACGGGGTGTCAGAGGAATATACCGCCATCTTACGAGCACTTTCATACATCCGGCAGAGTGAGGATCTATGGTAAGCTTTCCTCGCAATTCGCTGTCAATAGCGGTGTGCGACAGGGCTGCCCTATGTCCCCATTCCTCCACAACTTCGCAATCGAAGACGTTCTGTCGATTGCTTTAGAAGGTTTCCAACATCTTAACCTAGAACTTCTATCGGGTGAGCGCGCGACCGACTTAGATTATGCTGATGATATCGTCTTACTTGGTGACGATCCTCACGGTATGCAACTCATTCTGGATTGTTTGGCGGTTGAAGCATCTAAGTATGGCATGAGCTTCACTCCATCGAAGTGTAAAGTACTGCTCAAGGATTGGCTTTCATCTGCCCCCGTGCTCACTCTCGAAGGGGCACAACTTGAACAGGTATATAGTTTCGTCTACCTTGGGAGCTGTGTTTCTGATGACGGCACTATTAACAAAGAAGTTTCTTTTCCCATCGCTAAAGCTCGATCAGCATTTGCCAATCTGAGGCACTTGTGGCGTCGTCGCGAGGTCTCAATCTCGCTAAAGGGCCGCGTTTACAGCGCATCAGTTCGCTCAGTATTGTTGTATGGGAGCGAATCCCGGCCGCTTCGCGTGGAAGACATGCGTCGGCTTTCTGCCTTCGATAATGGTTGCTTAAGGAGGATTGCTCGTGTTTGGTGGCAACATCGAGTTAACAGCAATGAGGTTCGACGTCGCAACTTGAGGAATGCGAGTATTCCCTTCAACAAACTAGTTTTGCTGTGCCAGTTGAGATGGCTCGGTTACGTCCTACGTATGGGACCTGAGCGTCTACCGCGTCGCGCTCTATTCGTTCGTCAAGGACTTGGCTGGAAGTGACCGCATGGTGGTCAGCCTTTCACTTGGCGACAGCACATGAAATCGTTTACGTCGTGTCTAGCCGCCATTGGACCCGTACGTCTTCCAGCACGGGGTCTCGAAGATTAGGAGTGGCAATGGTTTAACACTTGAAGACATGGCCCGCAACCGGAATCAGTGGAAGAATTGTGTACAGTATTGTATTGATGCACATGTTTAATACTTCAAACATTAAAAATGACAAAAAAGAGAAAAATCGGCGTGTGAAAACAAACTAAAAATGTTTTGTTCTACTTTTGTCAAAATGTTGCTTTCTTCCTGCGGCATATTAGCTGAAGTGTGTTGCTCACCTTCAACACGATTTTTATTTCTGCGACATCTGGAGTATGCTGTAAATATTATACGAAAGAACTGAGAAATTCATCGTGATAAAAATAGCATGTCTCTTAACCCAGAGAATATATATTATTATTTAAAAGAGGCTACCACCAACAGCCCCACTGTCACTCGGTACCTACGCTTCTGATATGGCAGTGGGCGCTATCTTGCATCAACAGGCAGTCGACAGTTGGTAACCGCCGAAATTTTTCTCTAAACACCAGATTGTTGCATTATTATTGAATTAGGTAACTGCGTGTATCCACTTTGTTGAGGACTTTGTTGGAGTAGTTGTATGATATTCTACTGTTCGTGAAATGGTACCATAGTACAACACTGATTGTGGCTTTTCGATTGTCCGGTGGTTTAGTACCAGTTCCGGTTACTTGTCCATCGTTGAATCCTTCTCCGTTGCGGATCGGTGTTTTACGCGTTGTCCAACTGTCCTAAGCACTTTTCAGGCTTACACAAGGTAAACCCATCTGGTCTTCAAAACGCATCCACTCGCATCAACCAAAGCATGAGTTGAACGCTGTGTGTTGGAGTGCCAGCCGTGTGTCTTGGACTACGACACATCTCAATTGTGGCTTCCGTAGAAGTTGAAGTCAGCCTCTGGCATACCAATCACTGAGACCGTATCCGGAGTGGAGTTTCGGTGTTGCAGAGATGGGAGAGAGCAATATCGAAACACGCCAAAGCCTGATTTCTCGCGCCCGACGTACTACAATCCGCCAAACAAGTCAGAACACATGCTTAACTTCGGTCTCATCTACCCTTCTAACCAGATATCTAGAAAGATCAGTGATTGGCTTTTCCGCTGTGATTACTTGGCACTTAACCGTTCTACTACAGTTGATAGATAACCCATCCCTCACACTTATGAGCTCCGATAGAGTTAGCGGATAGGGTCATCACTTCTAGGCTTGAGCCCATCATAAAATCCCAATGGTACTTGGTGACGTTGCTTGCATGATATATTGGTTTCCCACACAGTACTTGAAACATCGACGGAAGGTATTTGCACGATTTGGCTGTCATGTTAAAAAATTGACATTAGAGGTATTAGTCCCACCTCAAGCTATCATCAGACGCCTATACCGAATTTTCAACATGGTCAATTAATACTAAAGGTCCATTCATTGCCTTCGAATAATTTGCATTAAAGTAACCCGCTCGAACTTCACATTATCATCTGAAGCAGCGTTTGGCTTCACTAATTAAAAGCCAACTTCGGTAACGTCCATGAGCTAGTTGGAAATGAATGAGAGTTACTCTGATCCTTAAAACATAGTTCTTACGCTATTCATCCTGAGCATCTGATGGTACCTATTAAGCTTCTTTACCAGTATGGAATCACTGGTCCATTGTAAACCGAAATAATCAAACCTCTTCAGGATCATACGGACGAGACGGTAGATATAAGCGGCTCGGAAATCATCAAACAATTATATTGCTGATTCACTAGCTTCAGCACAACGTGAAGCCAAGCACACTTAGATGCGCCACGGGTGTGCTCCGGCAGCGACGCGTTAAAACAAAGCAATCAGAGCACAGTGTGCTAGTGGCTGAAACCGGGGGCGGATGGGATCGATGCGGCACACTGTTGGACTGGGGAACAATCAGACGAAGGCCGAGCACGCACGACTGGTCTGGAGCAGCAGAAAGCGGATTGACCGGCCGTACGGCGAGTGGATTGCACGTGTCTGAGACCGTTGTAGCATCGCGCGCAGCTGTGGCGGAGGCTCGTTTGAGGAAGCATCAGCCGAATGGACAAGTCAGACGCTACTTATGAGAAATAATCGCGCGTAACGAACCCGGCCCAGCGCATTGGATAACCAGTGCGCTGTTAGCAGGCAGAAAAGTGGGTTGGTCAGCCGTACGGCGAGTGGATGGCATACGCCCGAGATCATAACAGCAACACAGTCAGCTATGTCAAATAACGAATCGTGGGATCATCGACTACATGAGCGGACGGACAAACAAACGTCAGCGTGCAGTCTATCCGTGATGGCAACAGCGAAGCACAGTGTAACTTGAGCTCTGTAAGCGTGGATCGTATGGAGAACGAGCAAAAACTGATGGGATGCGACTGGCGTGACAGGCTAGTTAACGAGGACCAGCCAGAGAACGGACAACATCGAAATACTATATGTTATCTGGAAGTAACCACGAGTCTTCATAACAATGAATTAGTGATCGCAGCCCAGACATTCTTCTTGATTCGCGGAGGGAAATACGACACACAACACAAGCTCCGATACAAAACATTTTTAGTACAAATCGCTAAAAGCAGGAAGAATCGAGCTGCTGCTATCTCAGCACAGTTACATCGCAGCACCCAGATGAGGCATATCAGCATGTGTGTACTTAATATAGGAATCGACGTGAAGCAAAGGCGCCAGAGCTTCCACAGCTCATGCTCGGTGTCACAAACAGTAGTCGATAAAGATGGATTGACATCTTGATATCGTACACCGCATCCAAAAAAGAATGGACGATTGATGTCTTAGCAACGGTCCGAACATGGTGGAAATTCGTCATATTCCAGATGGGAGTGAACCATTCTACAACACAAAAGTTTCGGACAATTTTGTATCCACAGCCATGGTCAATGATTATGATTTGTGCACTACCAATTCCGTAAGAAAAAACATAAAGTTGGGATATTATACAAGGATATATAATTGGGTGTGATGTACATGAGGGTATGGAACTTATCTATATCAATGGACAAGAGCTCGAGACCGGAAGTTATGATCATGGCTGAGAGTGGCGTAGATCAGATACAGAAACCAGGGCACATAAAAGCATGGGGTGGACATCGTGAACATAAACTGCAGTAAAAGTCTGATTGGAAAGGGGAATCTGAGGCTGGACAAAAAATGGGTAGTATAAACCTAGCCATAGGGATGTGACTCTCTTAGACAAAAAAGGGAAATCACAATGAGGAATAAAACAATTTCGGCAAAGTTCCTCGTGAAAATATACACGCGCTCCCCCTGTTGTCTAGAGTAGTGACTGGGTTTTGACCAGCGAACATATCCGGAGATCACGATGATAACCTCATGCGACGAGCTGAGTAAATTTCCACATCCGGTGTATGTCATGTGCAAGAATATCCGTGGTTCGAGTTCCACCCAGGTTCATCAGTTCAAATATTTACGACAATTGTAGCTGCCACAGTTACACAGCAACTTGTCTGATTCTTTGGGAAAACGATAATCGTAGGTCAGTTCCTCACCGGGGTAAATTCTTAAAAAGCAGAAGGGGCAAAAAGATGTGGCATTAGACGCTATATGGAATGAAACAAACGCACCAAGAGGGGTGAAACTTCGAATGCTATGTACACATACATAAGCGTATACTTTCATATGTATGTATGAACAAGGTAAGTTAATCACGAGCTAATGTTGATTTTAGGTGGTCGAAATCAATGGTAGTTCATCTACATCAGTGGTGTGAGGATATCTAGAGGGCGGTTGCCCAGATGCAAGAGAAAGGACTGTTGCATGCGGAAAAGAAACACCGCGTATGGAAGCAACATGCGTCGATGTAGTCTACTCCATCGACGTCAAGCGCATGGTGCCGTAGGACATGCAGTCGCTAATGCCCCAGCCAGGCCGGTCTGGTAACCCACTTGCACGTCCATGAGAGAACAACATGAAAAAGGCGGCGAGCAGACTGAATAAATAAGCATCAGCGCAGTGCCCATTGAATAAGCTGCTTCCGATTCAATTTAATGACACAAGCCAACGGAGAAAAATTCAATAAAAAACAAAAACACAAGAGAGCCAGAATGAAATTACAGTAAAAAGCATCTCAAATTAACGGACCAACCTTCGTTTTGCAAGAATAACAATATGTTTCCTGTCCTCCATGGTTATCACTTTGGCGTAACAGTTGGGCTATTAGGGAAATGGGTAAGAAGATACAGGAAGATGCATGGACGGCAACTAGGGTTTGCAATTTATGCATGAAAAAACATTACGAAGTAAGGGGCAGCCCAAGGATCATTTAGCAAGAACTCCGCAGGTCGCCTCGATTTGTCATGATGGTATATTTAATAATGTGTGCGGCACGGTTGGCAACGAGCATATGCGTCATGATTACACCAAAGTGACATGTGGTCACTAACATCCGGAGTTCTCATGGCGCAAGTTCGCGTAAACGGGAGATGCCCTAGGTTAGTTTTCACCTGTATCAGCTCACTTTAGTAAGGTAATCAGGAAGACTTCAAGGTGACGAGAGGCGATGCGGCGTTGAAACAAAAGGTGGCCTTTTAGATGTTCTAAGGTTCACCAGATAGGGGAGAGTCGGTAGACGGATACGAGAAGGGCAGCAAGCAGAAAATTACCTTCATCCTCGCTGGCAAAGACCTAAGTTCAGTTGTGGAATTCTCCGAGTTGAGCAACCTGGTTGCAAACTTTTCGCCACCATTCGAGGTGGCATCTTCAGTGCGGGATTGATAGCAGTTAAGTAGCAGTAGCTGGTAGAAAGCAAACCCAATAATGGGTTTGGATTTGCTTTCTACCAGCTACTGCTACTTAACTGCTATCAATCCCGCACTGAAGATGTCACCTCGAATTGTGGCGAAACATTTGCAACCAAGTTTCCCAGCTCGGAGAACTCCACAACAACTAAGTAAGCCTCCCGAGCTACCAATATTCCAAATCATTTCGAAAGATTTAAGTGCATGACAATGTACCGCGAAGTAGTAGGAACCTATCCATCCTTAAGGTACCACTAAAAGGAACACTTTAAATTGTAATGTGGTTAACCTCCGGCTTACATCTCAGTGATAGTGGTCATCCTTCCAGTTTTCTATAAATGCTATACCAATCACATGCCGACTTGACTGGAATGAGCAAGCTTTCGTTCCCACCAAATCTAACAATATGTTTCGATGCTACGGTACTTAAAGAGAGTAGCATCGAAAAATTCCCCTTCGGACGCCGTCACAATGAGTAAGGCGACAGAGGTTTAAGTAGAAGCAAATCGGGACCTCAAATGAGCTGGCGGCCAAAAGTATTTCAGAATTCCACAATGCTGAGGAACATTCAAGGAACCCGAGATTACTCATGACCGTAGCTGTATAAGGCACATACAGTTCAATTGGTTTCAAACGTGACCTAGTGCAACCACCCACGACCGCTTCATCTGTAACCTGATGGATAAGGCTGCGTCTATCTCTGACCGTAAGGCCGGTGCTTGGATTTGAGAAACTCTTCGGACAAGCTAGGCGTCACAGCCATATTGGTGTGGACCCAAAGTCTGTGGAATAGGCTCGCCGCGAATGGATGAGAAGCGAAGAGTCTACGGCCGCATCCGCGCGCACACCAAGATAACCTGTGTCCCTGTCTGCACAACACAATAGATGTGCACCACCTGACTTGCCGCACAAGGATTGGTCGAGCCACAGACGAAGTTTACCCACAAATCAGCATAACAGTGTAGAATTCAAAATGGTTATTTGTATCGTGAATTTCATCGGTTTATTTTTTTAGCTTTCTGATACTCGAACCGGTGGTATTTGTATCGACTCAATTGATCACCACAGTCAATGAATCACTAAAAAAACATAAAAACGTTTGCCCCTGACCAAACTGCCTGGTAAGCAGCGACTTTCAAGAGCCGCCAGAAATAAATTTGCCGCTTAGTCGCTTAATCCGACACATGACAATAGTAACAAAGTCAATAACTTAGAAAAGGTAGTTATATTGGATGAAGAACTCAAGGAGATCAGCCACGTGATTGGGAACCTGATATCAGTATCATACTTAATCCGTGTGTCAGATAATCTCAGTACCGATCATTTGCAAAGAGCCGCATCGATTGTTTCGTCGCTTACCATCTAAACTTCATCCTGTGATCATTCTGCCAGCCAATATGAGGCGGCTCAAACTTAAATGTAAGGAGTTAGTATAAAATAGGATTAGTTACCGACCCCACAAGGGTCGGCAAAAGCTCGTAACTATCACTCCCACGATCAGATACACTTCTAACATTCGAAGCACTCTCCTGTATATATATATATATATATATATATATATATATATATATATATATATATATATATATATCAATGCTCAAGGCCTCTTCAGCAAATTATTCGAGCTTCTATGTCGTCAAACCTCAATGTCTATGAACCTGATAATGATAACTGAGACTTGGCTGAACGATGAAACCAGTGAAACGGAGATCGCTCCGTCAGGTATGTCCGTCCTACCAAAGGTCGACCTAGTAGGGGAGGCGGTGTAGTCTTGTACTATTGCTGTGACCTGCATTTCAAAACCATTGATGACCCAGAGATTGAAGTTGAGGACTCACTTTGGTGTCGCACGCAAGTAAGATGTGGTGATACACGTCTGGTTGCCCTCGATACCGTCATCCCATGTCCACTTTGGAAATGGTCAACTGTCTAGCCATTGCACTGAAGACCGTTCTGACAAATCCTAACACTCACGTTCTCCTTGTGGGAGACTACAACTTACACGGCTTCCTTTGGTGAACAATTTAAGGCCGAACTGCAAGAACTAGTTGCTGGCCTACCATTTCACATTCACGTTACTTGCCCGACAAGGTTCACAAGGGGACAAACCGGCCATTTTGGACCTTAACTTTACCAATGAGGAACTTATGACCGATACTGTGAGTAGCCTCTCGGCGTGCAGTGACCACACAACACTGTTTTTACGCTACGTCTGTTACGCAGAGCAATTCAAAATGGAATTCAAAGAAGTCCGCATAATAGCACATCGTAACATTGTATCCGACCTCATCACGCTCACTGATCGTTCGTGTAGAATAACCCACAGATGTCGGTTGGGGAAGTTCGCCACTCAGTTTAGCACTACAGTATCAGACTCATCAGAGACTAAGATCGTTAGTACAAAAAAGGTAAAGCCCATTCTGAAGAGCAGGACGCAGGAACAAATGACCCTGAGAGATTCAGTTTGGAAAACATGCAAATCTGGTCCAGACGCAGGAAATTGGAGTGCCTACGTAACTGAGTAAAACCACTGTCAAATTTGTCCGCGAAGACAAAAGGAAACACCAAAAGGATTTGGCGAAGTTGCGCCGATGCAATCCCAAGCTACTTTACAGACAGGCTAACAAACTCCGCAAAATACAGCGTGGAATCTAAACACCGTTTGTGAGCAAGCGCGAACTGTTCAAGAAGCAACTGATGCTCTTAGATATCAATTCGCTTGTACGTTTTGGCACGCACCGCTATCTCATACCATCGTCACACAGGTCACATCATCATCATCAAGATTTAGCCGCATCCCCTTCAGTGCTGCAGATGTGCTGAAGCGACCGATGTCGCTACGCGAGTATAGTTCACCTGATCCGGATAAAATACGCTCGAAATCATTGATGATGGCTGCCACAACCTTGGCTGAACTATAGTATCAGTTTTTCCAAAGCTACCCTGTAGAGATTAAGGTTCCAACTATAAGGAAGCGTGGAACAGTCACTCCCACCTACAAGGGAGGCAGGCGTGCAGTGTCTAAAAGAGTACTCTTATTCCTGTACTTGCTAAAGTAATGGAATCTGTCATCGCAGAAGCACTAATGGGATATTTAAAGAGATCTAATTTCATCGTGAAGAAGCAGCATGGGTTCTGCCGAAACCGCTCATGTGCGACGAACCTGCTGTTAGCCATGCCAGCTAGAGAAGGAGTCGACGCCGCCTACCTCGATATCTTTAAGGTTTTTGATCATCTAGACCACCGTATATCTCTTTATAAGCTTCGGAGCAATGGGGTCGGCGTCCTTACCCCGGACTGGGTAACGTCACTCCTACCCCAATGCCACTAGAATGTGCGAGTTCGTAGCGCACTGTTCGACCCGATAAAGTTTCATGTGACGTCCATCAACATTTGGTACCAGGACCACCACTATTCCTTGTGTTCAGAAGCGACCTCGCGAGAGTATTGACGTCAAACGTTCTACTTTTAGCAGACGACCTGCAGATGTGACGGGCAAGCAGACGAGTGGACGACGAATTAGCACTGCAAGATGATCTCAACAATGCCTACAAATGGCCGGCTCAGAACATACTTGAGTTTAGCCTCGTCAAATGTAAAATAATTAGCATACGTCACTAGAGCACCTACGAATATCGACTAGTAGAACACGTCTTGCAGCGCGCTTCCCATGAAAGTGATCTTTTAGTGCTCGTGCAAGACAATCTCGGTTGTTTATGACAGTTTGAGAAAGCAGTGGAAAAAGTCAGCCAACCCTTTGGCTTGCTGCGGAGGGGGTTTGGCTGATTTGATCTCACCTTTGTTCACAAGTGTTAAACGCTTACGTGAAGTCATGTGTGGAGTATGCCATCTAGGTGTGGTACCCTCGGCAATAATGTGACCTCAGTGCTCTTGAGAAACCACAACGGGGTGACAATAAGTGGTAAGGGATTGCCCCACCTCCCGTACCAGTTTAGACTCAAGACTCTAAGGGTTTTCAGCGAATAATATCGTCTTCTGCAGGGCGATCTCAAAGTTGTGTATCAGATTTTCAAGGATTCCAACCAACCATGCCAACCCTTAATAAAACTCAATCACAACAAGTCCCTGAGAGGCCATCGTTTAAAGTTAGCCACGCAGTGGGGCCGGTTGGAATGCCACCGGAACGTTTTACCCACTCATGTATTCCAGCCGTGAAACTTACTTCCACATTCGGTTATCTGAGCTTCAACGTTAGCGGAATTCAAAACCCGACTTGATGGAGTATTACATTAATTGTGGATGTTTGTGAGTAGTGTAAAGTTCGTAGAAAGTAGAAGTCACGGTTAAAATTCACACAATAATGTGCCTCGACGAGGAATCGAACCCCGGTCCAACGAATTTCCGGTCCGCTGCACTACCACTGAGCTACCGAGGGCTGACGATTAGGTGCGCAATTTTTAATACATTACTTCTGCTTGGTCATGTATTAAAAATTGCACACCTAATCGTCAGCCCTCGGTAGCTCAGCGATAGAGCAGCGGACCGGAAATTCGTTGGACCGGGGTTCGATTCCTCGTCGATGCATATTATTGTGTGTGAATTTTAAACGTGACTTCTACTTTCTACGAGTATTAGATTACTTGCACTACATGATTTAACCCAATTACCTGGGACACGCGACGAACAAAGCATTGTTCACGTGAAATTTGCGGCAAGTAAACGCATGCGCGTTATTTTTTCTTTATACATTTAGCTTTGATCTCAATCTTCGCCTACGAAAACTGTTAAGCGTTTACATTTTTATCCGTGATAAATCCTTTGCGCCATTGTTCCGTCATCATGATAGATATTACAGCTGGGTCACTTTCGCATGTGGATGTAACTGCTACAGTTGCGCGCATCAGCAGGCACCGATACAAACTAGTGGTACCGGACAGCTAAGCGGTCAGCCCTTTGCTTCAAGCAGCGTGTAGTTAAATACTGGGACAGTTTACCCGAGACAATAAGCAAGGTGAAATCGGTGTAAGAATTCAAACAACTCAGTTGGACTGTCTCGCACCGCAGAGGAATAAACCGTTAATTTAGTTAGTTAATCCCTATACCACCATTTGCGGAGTATAGAATTAGGGAGCGCATCGCACCCGGATGGCCCAGCTATTATGCTGCAAACGCGCGAGAATCAGTGACGTGATTCCGCGCAGGTGTCCGATCTATGATAGAGAACTATGATAGAGAGGCACAGATAGATATCTACTAGCTCACTAGTCAGTGTTCAGTAGTGCACCAATATCGAAAGGTCATTTTCAATATTTCTGACGAAGTTCACTTAGAACCCGTGAAAACACGTTCTACTCACCGCACGCGGAGTGAGTGGAACCAACGAACAAGGTATGCGACTTAGAAAACCAAATTTTAAGTACGCAAGCCCCGTTCCTCCTCAATTTGGGGAGCGGCAGTAGGCCCAACTGTTTTAGTGGAGGACACGTCTAGTTGCTGATATCATCAAATCCAAACGTGCTATCATCAGACTTGATTAAACACCACTTTAGCGAGTGATAAAGGTTAATTGGCTACAATCGCACGTAAAATTAAGTCCTCCGAGACTCTGTTAGCCATCTTTATAGTGCGGAATATACTAACCATCCTAACGTAGATCTAAACCTAGCGCAAAGTAAGATTGTTTCTGAACTTACAGGTGCTAAGTCTTCGGGCATACCAACCGCTAGCCCCACCGTAAAGCAGTGCTTCATTATGTTAGGCCAAAAGTTCGACGACTTCAGAGGCAGTAGACCCAGTCCTGATGTTAGCTAAGGTCACCAATTCACTTTTGAAACAGCCCGATGCTTGAAGGTAGCGATAAATCGCTTACCTGCATGCTTGCTGTACACAGCGTGCCACGCTTCAACCGCGAGCGAAGAGATGAGGTACAACAAATTAAGTATCCTATTCGAGAAACCATGAACAACAGCAGAGGAGCAGAAGCAAATAAGAGCAAATGAGTAAAAGCAAACAAGAGCAAAGCGTAAGTAGGAGCAGCAACGCCGTTAACCGACTGCCAAACTTGGTGGGAAATTCCTTACAAATGCGTTATGGCACCAGTTATTGGAAATCTCACGCATAATGGTATAAACCACACTTTTACCGAATCAGGTTTTATGTAATACTTCTTTCCACCCGACCCCAAGACTGGAGGTATACGCAATTGCCAAAAGATATCTCTCATATCATCCAGTCAATGTACCGCCTCCTACTATGCCGCTTAAGAGCAAAGTAAACGGGAGTACATGCTCTCTTCCGATAGGCATGCATTGTAGAACAGGTCCATCGAGCTCGGATGCACCCCATATGGTCTCCCTCGACAGCTTCCTAATTCAAACACACCACGGGTAGAAGAGAAATATGAGCTTCAGTTGCAGGTGTTTGCCCAGAGATTACCTATCAACTGTTAAACACACTCAACGGGCTTTAAGCTTGAGAGTTCAATACAACCACAGAATACATGTGGAGCGGAATTCACCCCTCTACTCTGTAGATTGGTCTTCTGTGAACGAGTATAGACATTTGTGTGCTAATACCGCAGACATTCACGAAAATCAGCAGGCTTATGCGCGTAGTAGGTTTTTCTGAGGAGTCTACACTTTTTACTCCAAATCATACTAAGCCCTACGCCTCATCCCAACCACCTCCAAATATTGAAAGTACGAAATTCCAAGACTCTTAAATCCACTGCAACCAAGGCAACACCCTGTTCATGTACTGATTGCTGTAAACGGGCGAACCAATCCTGTTCTGATGACTCCAGTAAACTAAGGTCCGTTAATGCTCATTCTCTGGTACATCAAATGCATCTGCTCTGTTGTTTCGTCACCGTTCATTAGCCTCATGTCTTCCTTATTACTGAATTGTGGTGTAGAAATGAGACCGCGGACCACCTTAATGACCTCCAAAGTTAAAATGTATTCAGGCGGGATTGCTGTCATAGACGAGGAGACAGCTGCATCATTTATTGATAAACAATTTGAGAACTTCACAGTGTAATAACCAGCCTCTATCATCACTCGATTAATCTGGTTGGATAACAATAACTCAGAACAATGATTGGCTGACAGTTTAGTGTGCATACATGCCGCCAAGATCATGTGCGCTTGAAAATGGAACGCTTAAGAATTCAACGAGGTATGCTTCTGAATTGCTTATGCAGCAAAAGATAATGGCAGGTAATTTCGACTTGGCAGAAATTTCTTGGACTGAACACAAAGCCAGCAGGAAACAAGCTGAGCCTCGAAAGTATCTGCACCATGCAGGATGGACTTAACATGTAACAGCCTCCACAAGGGCACTGTAGATCTTGTATTCGCATGCGGCCCACTTGTTGCATCATCAGCATACTGCCTTTATGACAGTGATCATACTATTGCTGGTTGAAAACTAAATTTTACGTTTACATCTGATGCTCAAGGGAAAAGACGGTGCAATTTTAGCCGAGTAAGCTGGGAGAAATTCTCCATCTCAGTGCGTTACGAAATCGAAAGTGTCCTTTTAAGCATTCTACGAGAACAGTGCTATCTCGATTGCAGATGCTGTTAATTAGGAATGAAAACCTAAAAGTAGTTCGACTCTAAAAAGAGATAGTATGTTTAACAATGTAAAGAAACTGTTCGAGATAACACGATTGCTAAAAGAGATGAGGGGTACACAACAAAACCGATCGTTATATCTTGACACGCCTGCTGCTGTATCGGAGGCGTTCAACTGCTATTCCGTAGACACTCCCACAATTACAAAAGTAGTACCAGCAGAACAACCCACGCTGTATACTGGCCCGTTCATTTCTAACATTGAATTCAATGTTGCCTCAACTAAACACCAAAATGGCGTTATAATTTACCTTTCGCCGAGGTCCAGATGGAATCCCATCGGCTCTTCAGAAGTATGGCATTGACGACATCGCGTACTTGTTACTGAATTCGTTTCCTACCTCAATGAAATCTGATCCTTATCCTGAAAGGATAGAAAAACATAATCCCTGCTACTCCATATTGATGAACAGTCCTAGAGTGGTATCCATTTCAATGAAAAGTGATCAGGCTGTGGAGCACTGTTATATACATGCTGCTTTACAGAGAAAGTTTTGGTGGGAAGCTGTTGGTTCGCACGCCTAGACTTGGGTAACCTGGTAGTACCAATTCGACATATAACCATGACTGTCTGACCGTTACTTGAGTCGCATTCGCTATCAGTTCTTGTGCAAGCGCAAAAGCATCCCCTTGTGTACCGCACATATCATGACGAAGAAGTGAAGAGAATAGAAAACAAACAGAACCACAATGTACTACCCGTTTCGCGTACACTCCGTCCGGCCCTCTTCCTATAACCCCATACTTAAGTGACGGTGACTGAACATTCGCACCTGCGTCACAAACTGTCATCGAAAGCCTCATATTAAACAACTCTGATTTCTCTCTGGTGGTGTTCTACTTCCGGGTAATAGAGTGCATCTGAGTTCACAATGGACACCAAAAAAGTTGGTGTGCTGTGTGCCCGAAACCGAGATTCTCGATGCTCACACTGTTACTGAAGTAACTGCAGTTAGCCTATCACCTCCATATTGGTAGCAGGCAGCCGGAGATGCCGATGCAGCAACCATAAGCCCACTGGTTCATCGCTCAATGCTCATCGAGTGTGGATTTTTACGGTCAATCGCTGGAAATGAGAGAAAGCGAACGAATCAGCACTAGGCGCAGACAAGCACGCATTTTCCCCTGGTAGGTAGATATGTCACGGTGGCCCGGCTTAGGGTAATTCGATCTGCCATACATCGGTGTTCAGATAATGGCTCAGCAACTGGACCGACTTGTGCCGTGCCACAAAAGGGTAGAGAAGAAAGTTTAAGATGGATAGATGAGGAATGCGCGTGCATCGAGTGGAGTTCAAGGAGGATACATTGTACAGCGGTTATCAGAGCCGGACCCAGATTCACTACCATATTCCTGCGCTTGGACTTACGTCGCATGAATGATTGATGAAGCGCGCAGCATTACCCGCGTAGGTAGCATCAATGACCAGATCCTCATCGATGCGGAACATGTAGCAGTCCACACTAGCTGCGCGATAACGAACTTCGCGTGCTTCGCAGACCAAGTTGCGAATTAGTTCACCCATATATTCCACCACCATCTCGTCTTCAAAGAACCCACGAAGTGCGAACAGTCCACGGCCATGAATGCGTGATGGATGGACAGAAATGCGAAGGAAGCGGGCAGCGGAACCAGAAACCAGTCTTTTAAATTGCGTGCTAACCTGAAAATGTTTTTAAAAAAAGATTAATGAGACGCTAGTATATTGGGACTTATAAAACAATGCTAAAAAGTGACAATGCGCTGACTTACATTGCCCAAGTCAGGTTCCTGATCACTGTTGTCTGATTCCTCATTATCAGAAGAGGTTCCAGAAGGGGTATCATTAGAACTGACGGTGTCCTGCGGAAAAAGGGGCTCAGTTTTCGGAGAATGTGCTTCACCGTTTTTGGATGTATCATCAGCTTTTTCGATTGAGTTGAAAGGTAACCCAGTAGCTTGAACGACTGCTTGAGCCACACAGGCTTCGCGCATCTTCATGGGTATTTTCAACTGGACTGCCACAAGGGATGCTGCCTGGCGTGCGGCCTCTACACACATCTTTCGCTCGTTGGGAGATAGTAGGGCGGCGGGTCCGTTAGAGAACCGACAATTCTGAGTGGTCGTGTGGTCGACTTTATCAAGTAAAGTGTCTCGGCTGGATTTGAGCAAAGGTCGCGGTGGCGGATTGGCCTTACAGTGCAGAAAGCCCAGTGGATCGCGGGCATGACCAACAGGACGTTGTGGTTTGGTCCAGCCGATGGCTCGAGCACAACCCTCAACAACTGGTACTGGTGGGGTGAACTAGAGATAAAATAACGACAAAAAAGCATCAAATGGCAGTAAAGCGGACCAAACGGAAACAACAACAGGTATAGTTATGCGTCGGCTCGTAGCCTAGAGGTAACAAGCTCGTCTCGTAATCTTGCGGTGCGGGTTCGAATCGCGTAGGGGTGGGCGTTCTCGTGGTATACTCAGTCCGCGTGCGACTGGTATTGGTCGCACGGCAGCGAAGCGCCGTTGCGGCGTACAGCTGACACATTTTTATTATTATAGCCATGTGAATGCGATAACTTTGATACCATCAACAGATGGCGACAATAGCTTAGAAGAAGCGGTGCTAAGCCGGTCATCATGACCCAGCGGGGTAACAGATCGCATACGGCCAGAATCGACGGCGAAAGAAGTGGAGCAAATTACGGATGTTGGTGGACATAGGTATTTAATGAAAGAGTATGTAAACAAAGTACCAACACAGGAAGTCCCGACATTAAAACGCACTTTTCGACGAAGTCGGTCCACTTTTCTACAATGATACCGGAACCGATAACGATAGCACTGGAATGCGCCACGCATTTGCTCCACTAAAAATATCACATGACGATGATTCAGGCCGAATTGAGTCCAGCCATCGACAGCTAAAAGGGGGGGAAGGAAAAGGAAGAAGTTCTGTTGATCTACTGAACCACTAGATTAGAAGTCAATGCAGATCGAGCGTGAACTTAGATGCACGCGCAAAACAATCGGGATCGAGTGTGCGAGCACAACAGAGAAACAATCGAGGACATGTAAGCCATTCGAAAGTATCCCGTCTGCCAGGAGTGCTCAAGAAGCTGAACCTACCGGCAAGCTAGATGATGTAATCGCTAGGGTGGAGATGAGAACTCACAAAGAAAAGTGACAACAAGGCTAGCAAGCAGCTCAGCTACAGACGGACGCAAAGTTTCAAGCAGAAGTTGTAGCAAACTAGTGACTACAGTGCATATATTGTTTAAGTGATATATGTATATATGTATATATATATATATATATATATATATATATATATATATATATATACAACCGATCAGAAACGAACACGATTGTTTTTTGGTAGATATGTCAGGGTGAACGTATTAAAAAGTCAGCGAGATCGTGAACTGTAAGTGAATGAAGAAGACTCATAAAAAGTGGCTCCTTTTAGAAATAAAATGCTTTAGTGACAATTTTCAGATAATAGCAGTACTGACAACAAACGGAAATATGAGCGAAATTTGATGTTAGGAATGAGGAACAGTGGGGAAAAAATCATTATGCTAGGAGACACCCAATGATCAATAGAGTTAGGTCTGTACAGGAACAGATATTTTGACTAAAAAATCAATTCGCCTCCTTGACTTCAGCATCTCCCACTAATGATGTTTGGTTCAAAAAACTATCTAGTGAATATATCGGTGAAATACTAAGGAAGACATACCACACACCGCAGATCATTATAAAGCGCTACGTCGTCTAGAGCAAAATGAAAAACAGAATACCGAACAGGGATCCGAAGTTGTCCCCTTGGACAGGCCGGACTATCCAGGCAATATGGAAATGCTATAATATGACAGCACAAAATTGCAGACTTTCGACACAATCTGTTCGATCGGGGAGGAATAGTGTTGTAAAATGAACCGTAGTTTCAACTCAGAAGACGAAGATGGATTGCCAAAACTAGTGCGCTTATAGCTCTCAAATGTATGGCTTGTCAAAGGTGTATAAGAGAGAAACACCAACGCGGCCAATAGGCTCTATGATCAATTCACCGTGCTATACCATTGCCAAGTGATTGAGAACGTCCATAGGAAGACACATAATCCAACACCATTCAGGTAATTTCTTGTTGGGAAATCACAAAGTTAACCAGAAAGTGGACGTGTTTGCTTGAGGTGTAATCTATACCAAAGATCCAGTACACAAGACTTCTGTTCATCCCAGTGGATCTAACACAAAAGCAACGCTCAGTGACAACCTCATACAGAATTGTCGAGAAACATACTCCTGTGAGTATACATAATGTTATGTTGCATACAATGCGCCTCTTTTCCGAATTGGCCTACACCGACTTAAACTAGCTCTTAAGCTGGATACGAAGTATACTAGCATATTTGATTTGTTCAGTTTTGCTGTTCTGTTTCATATTCCGTGTCAATTTTGCGGTTATTTTCTTTCGAATTCGATGTTGATTGTTTGATATTCCCGATGTCAATGCGCTTGATGCGAATGTTGACAAAGTGCCTACATGTTTAACACCGTCTGCCACGAGTACTGGCTCCAAGAGACTATGAGTCGTTGCTGGGGGCACGGGGTGCCCAGTCCTCGTGCCGTGCTGGATTCAAAGAGTAGTTCCATCCGATGTGGAGCGGACTACGGGCTAGCCACCGTTTCGTATACGTCTGGTACGTATTATCTGCAATTTAGACAGGAATGTTTCTGCTCTGCTTGTTGAAAGAGTGTGGGTCGACTGCGTTGATGAAACGTGGCTCCCCTCCACATACCTTCCAGTTTTAATCTCTCAGGTTTACAATGGATATGGGGTATGTGTGGAGCTGCGGGTGGTGCAGCGCCAGCCACCCATGATCCCTCTGTAGGCGCAAGCGTCCTGCGGCTGCCTCATGGAGACCGCAGTGACAGGCAAATCCGGAGTCAGACGCCACCGACCATCTTTTATTTCCAAGAAAAAGCATATCTATAGATAGATGGTGAGTTAACGGGTAGCCTACTAGAATTGCTATTGCAAAAGAGCGCGTAGATAAAAACTGAGTTCGAGCAGACGACACAAGTAAAGTGATAGCTTAATTTAGAGAAAGAAAGGCATCAGCAGTATACCGGTACGCAGTATCGACGCTTCGTTGCCGTGCAACCACCATGGGTCGCAGGTGGGCTAAGGATACTGCGAGGGCCGCCCTGCCCCACGCGGGATCGAACCCGAGTCGTCAGATTACAAGACAAGCTCAGCACCTGTAGGACTAATTTAAACACTAGGTTGATGATATACGGCTAGTTATGGAAAAAGATGAGGATCTTGCGCTTGCAAAAGAGGAAACTGAACAATATGCATATGTGAAAATGAAGAAGGCGATCGTCTCCATACGCAGACGCACTGCTGACACGAACAGCGGGTGGATAGAGCAAAAGATTAGTCTACCGGAAAGCGAGTTGGTTGGGCCAGCAATTGGATTTTAGGCGCTTGTCATTGTGGTAACACAAACGCTTCTTAATCTGGAATTTGGTCGATCAAGTCCACATGGTTTGCACTCCAGATACAGTAGAAGCAGGGGAAGAAGTTTGAAAGAAAATACCACATTATGATTCCAAACAAGAAAATCAGAAGACTTAGTTTACGAGGCATCGTGGTTATTTCGCGGTGGATCCACCGCACTTCAAAGCGATGGCAATTCGCATCGCTAGGTTAAAAGGAAGTAGCAATCGTAAGAAAATGGCATTGAACGCAAATGAAAGACAGAGAAAATGGACTTGAGAAATAGGTGCGCAAAACTATGAAGGGTGAAAAATTAACAGTTGCGAGCAAGAAACCGAACACAGGAGCGTTGTTGAGACCACACCAACGCCATGTCCTATAGGATCCCCAACCAATGACGTGGACTATTCTGAGGTCCATTTCCAAGAAGGTGGCACTATCAGCCAGACTAAAACTTTCAGTTAATTTCGTTATGATTTTGCACTACGTCATTCACTGACCAGACGACAGTTTCACCCAACTAGATGCATCGAAAGCATATACCATTTTGTGTGAGACCGTGAATGAGTACATGGGGAACGAAGCCATCGTAATGGGTTCAATTTTAACACACTCTACTAAGGTAAAAAAAAGAATTCTTACCAAATACCAATTGGCGAAGCACATCATTGTTCCCCTGGTGTTCTCACCAGAGTCGAGCAATAATCCGCAAACACCAGTGACCAAACGACCAGTGGCTACGTCTCGGATCCATGCAGTAACACCAACCTTTTCGCAGCGTTTTACATCCTACCTATCAATGAAAGGCTAATATTCTGCAGTTTCCATTTATAGTTGAGCCGCAACAATTATGGCGGCCCTGATCAATCTATCTGTCTAGCCAACAGAGGAAATTGGAAGCCAGCTGACTGCGAATAACCGAATATGAAATCAGTCGTCAAGCGGCTTTGCCAGTTATACATCAGTGTTCAAAATGCTTTACGGCAGTGTTGCACGATGTGGTGGGTTTTCGCCTGGCAAGCGTTCTCCCTATAAAAAGCCACAAATGTCTGTTTAACAACACTGCGACGTGGCGGATGTGACTCGCCATTGAATAAAGTCACTGCCCACAACTACATACTGGCAAGTCGACTACTCATATTTCAACTTCTTCCCGACACGTGCAAGAATATGATACTCTCCGGCTACATGTACCGTTTCACTGCACTTATAGTGTCTTGACCGCTTACACTACGCACGACTGAACCTAAAGTATCATTGTGATACACAGCTGCCTGTAAACCTTGATCATGCCTGATTTGCTGTGTCTCTATAAATTTGAGAATAAACTATTTATTTATGGAAAGTCACACAGGCTTTGCTGATACACGAAGTACTCTACACAGTGATGTGACCACCACATGTGGAACATGTACCAACTAGATTGATCCATCACTTCCAGTGGTTGGTCGTTGATAGTAAGTACCGGTGACGCATCGGTCCAATTCAGCAACAATACAGTGCAATTTGAAGGGGCAAAGTAGATGTTAAAGCATGTAACGGTGCGCATCAGCCTACTCAGTAAAGCTGCATTGCCGTTGCGCTAGACCAAAGGGGAGCTGTTTCGTCCACATACTCAACGTTTATGAAGCGGCCATCTGATGGAATTTACACTTTGGAAGTCTGTAAGAACAGCCGCACATGATCATTTTGATCACAAATTTGAAGAGGAATAAGATATGGAACAATTCACACGGACCCCAATTGTAGAGAATTCAGGAGACGGCTTCCCGAAGATCCTTATACGGTCATGGTGGACATCAGAATGGAAAGAAGTTCAGTTGGCACGTGCTTCATTGATAAACAGCACCACATGCTGGCTCGATCAAAAGAGTCGAAGGCGGTTTTCAGACCAAACAAAAGTACCACAGTCAGTCGTTTGTAAGTTCGTCTCAACTCTAACACTTGCTAAAGAGTAAAAATGTGATGCATGTAACCACGACCAAGGTAGGAGTCAGGTTGGCTTCCAGTGATGCGGTCCTCACGGGGCCAGTAAGTCGTGGAAGTTTGGAGGTACCGTAAACAGGGCTAATGCATAGATAATTTTCGCACAAAGTACGTCGACACTTCACGAAGATGAAGTTGACAGTTACCAGTCTGAAGGCACATCTTCCGTATCCCAAATCGTGTTGGATAGAGCAGCAAGTCCAGTCAACAAATTCACATTCATCTTTCAGATTAATACGCAATAGCATTGAGTGCAGCAGTCTTGTTTCGTTTCAACACGGAAAACTCACGTCGAATCTCGTTCAATTTTGGAGATGTGGCATCAAGTTCGGAGGTCGGTTCAGGTGATTCGGCAAGCGACAGTGTGGCAACTGGCCTGCTGCGGATATCAGATGAGATTTGACGATAGAAATCCGCATTAATATCAGTCAGTGGGGGCATACATGGAAACTATGAAAAGGCACCTTGTGTTCAAACAGTGTGCCTATTAACCCCAAAAGACTCCGGAGATCTAATCGCGCATATGCGACTGTTCTCTAGTATACACTAAAATAAATTGCCTTTGGCAAACATGGCGACCATACAAATGTCTCGAGCCACTGAGTCAAGAACGTTAGAGACACGGAGGGTAGTTCTTGTCGACAGATTCGGAGCCATGGAGTCGGAAATTCGTTACGACGCTGTCATCGTCTACGGGCGTATTGGAGATACAGCAGACAACAATACCAAGAGAGTAAGGAGTGAGTTAGTGCTGCCTGTTGATCGATCTGACTCACTTCCCAGAACAGGCGCACTGTCGACTCTTCAAGGTCAAATATTTAACTGACAAAATGCCGATTAGCAAACTTCCCCGCACCACCTCCCGCGTCTGCCCCTTTTCACTACGATTGCAGGACTATTCAACCACGGCAACAGAAAGTTGCGTTTTATTTTCTCTTCCCAGACCGTGAGAGAATAGGCTCGCTAGCCTACAGTTTTTCTGTCCCGTCAGGTGCGATTACTTAGCCTAGGCGTAGTATAGTCGCTTAGCGATATGGAGATGCTTAGAACAGCTCTGAGAGCAGTACAGTGAATGAGAGTAAACGCAATGCCGTGTTTGAGGGCCTAATAAGGCATACGCTCATCACCTCCCCTATCAGCTCAGCTCCAACCGGTATATTTGATGGGGGGGGTGAATACAGGAAACTGGAAAATCAAGTCAAATAAAACAAAACGGTCCGGATGCGTCAACATACTGCACTTCGCGGACATTTGAAACAATTGATTCATGGCCGTTGCGAATCGGGACATTCGGAAAACGACCTAATTATTATCAAGGTCCAGAACATTCCTAGTGGCAGTAGTAGTAGTAGTAGTAGCGGTCATGGTGGTGGTGTGAACATCAAAAATGCACCTTTTTGAACACAGTTTACTTTGATTACACTTGTTTAGGTTTTGACCACTTGGTCACATTGAAGTCGTTTTGTTGTGCACTCGCTAGGTTCAACCGATGAGTGTTACCAGACACGAAAGCGGCTGTGGAGTGTGTAGTGTGCTGTGAACAAGATGCACCGTCGACTGATGATGAAAAACAAGGTTCCGTTAGACGATTGCGGGAATAAGAAATCCGAAAACGCATGTCAAATTAGTCCGCCAGGGCAGAACAGATGGACTACGGGAGGCAATATTTCGGTAGAAGAGTCGTAACGAAAATTGGGCTAAATATGAAAAAAACCTAGAAATATACTAGAGGTAGAGTTGCTGTTTGGTTCCATGTTTGTTCTCTGATAGTACTGGGACGGGGGATATGGCTAACAAGGTTATAATCTACCCTCGAGAGACGATGGAAAACACGTTACAGTAGGCCCACCAGAAAGCTGAGATGAAATTAGCGAAATCAGAACACCAGATTTAGGACAAAATTACTCCACCATTCTTATACTAAGGTTTATCACTTTGTGCAACTTCATTTTCTTGTTTAAATAAGGCTAGCTGAGATCCCGACCTGTTTTCCAATTCCTTTCGCATTTTCGCCCTGTATCATCGGCTACCTAGTCGGGTCTCTCCCCAAACATCCTACATGTACTTGTTTTACTCGGGACTAGTACTCATCGGTATGCTATTTTAACCCTTTTGGACGTTGAGGAATAATCTACCCCGTTTAGTCACGTTGATCTTCGTTATCTCCCTGACGTGCATTAACGATGCGCAGACAGGACCCGGTATGTTGGCCATCACCTTCGCCGCGTGTTTCTTGTATTGTTTATTGATTTTATTTTTATTTATTTTATCTTAGAAAACTGATTTGGACAGGGATCAAGAGAATGCACTTCGATTGCTCCTGTTTGGTTCCACCCCATTACCGTATAATATATCCGATTGCATACCACCTGCATTTGTTACCAGTCGTATCGCTTATCGCAATCAGCAGACGCTCAGAGAAGACGGCGATGGAGCGATTATGACCACCACTATTTTGAGCGGCAGTAGGTTCAGATATGCAGCAAACCAACAGGGAGCTGTTTGTGTGAAGGACCATAGGAGCATAGCAGAGAAGCTTAGAGCGGGTGAGCACGATGCTGCGCGCTAGCCGGGTTAGAGGTGCGTTTTCACTGGTTTAAGAATACTTCACTGATGGGACAAGTGCAACGTAGAAATGAGCGTGTTTTTGCGGCTCCAAAAGACGGGTTGTTTCTATGTTAGCCTTATTCTCTTTACAGAACTATTAGGAAGCTAATATGGAAACAAACAGAAGGTGTGCACCCGAGGTTCAAAATGGACGATTCCTTTGAGTAGCCAGTTCAAAGCCATTCGTAACACACGAAAATAGTGTTCAATTGAGGTCTCGTGATCGAGAAAGGTGACGGACGGTGGAGACGGGAGAGACGAAAGGCCAGATTCAATGGAAACATATGAGCATCGTATCAACGCAGTCACAGAGTGCTTCGGTGAGGGAAGCAATAGGTGACGAAGAAGGCTAGCCTGTTCATTCTAAAGCCAGCGGAGTTGGACGTAAGGGCAAACATTTGGATCAGTGATGCAACCGACACTGTGCTTTTGTAATATACTAAATAACTCCGAACTACCGTGAGTGCTGTTGCGTCATCCACCACCTCGAGGAGTTTCGGTGCCAGCGACCATTGTTGAGGTGAGCGAAGTCCCATCGAGGATAATCGCATTCTATCATTGCTGAAGGGCAATGGCAGCCGGTTGCTGGTCAGCAGGGATGCTAAATTGATGTGATAGTGCAGTATGAGTGTATTCGGATTAGTTTTAAACTGTGAAGAACCTGCATTGCGCAAGCGCGAATAACTCGCTAGGGAAGAGGACAGTCTAGGACCACCGCTGAAGCAGTTGGTAGCGCCAGGTTGTGAAGTTGTTGAAGAAGGGTGTAGCGAAGAAGTCCCCATTTTACTATGATGCCCTGGGTCAGGAAATAACATATAGAAGACCATTTGTGGGGTTTCCAGGAAACAAAGCAAAGTTGGTTGCATCCAGCAGAAATATTGACGAATTGACTACCTGTTCGAGCACCTATATTCACGCATGAATTTTATGGAGAAGTTGAGATCAGATGATCGGATATAATGGAGATGATGGGGCAGCGGTTAGGAATTGACTATAGCACACACATGTATATACATATGGTTGGCGGCATCCGGTTTCGGATTTGCCTGTCACTGTGACCAGCCACAGGACGCCTGCGCCTACAGAGGGACCATGGGTGGCTTGCGCTGCACCACCCACAGCTCCAACCACACACCTCATATCCAGTGTAAACCCGAAGGAATAAGACCGGGAGGTATGCGGATTGGAGCCACGTTCCATCAACGGAGTCGGCCCACACCCCTTCACAGGCAAACACAAGCACACTGTATTTGGGAATCAAGCGCACACAAGGCGGTGGCTGGACCGTAGTCCGCTCCACACTAAGTGCATGGAACCACTCTTTGATCCTAACACGGCCACAAGGACTGTGCATCCCGTCCCCTCCAGCAACGACCAACTGTCTCCTGCAGCCAGTATGGACGAGGTAGTGGGTAATAGACAGGTAGACACCTTGTCAACATGCACATCAAGCGCAGCCACATGGGGGATATCAAGCAACAGCCAATCAGTTGACAGAGAGATACAAAGAAAATAACTCGATTAATGCATAAGGAAAAGGTGACATAAATCCTAAGTTAATGAGCATATGAAATAAGTTGTTTACAAACGAATCCTAGATAAGTTCACGAGGTCAGAAAGTATACTTTACGAAAATGCCACGAAGACGAAAATGTTATGGAAATCGAATACAATTGGCTTAAGCGAGGTAACAAAGTTAATGGAATAGAGTACAGGTAGACATTTATATGAGAAAGAAAAGCATTAGTGCAAAATTGAAAACCCACCACCTGAAATAAAGAGACTTAGCATGCAAGCACGCGGTTAGTAAATCGAATGCAGCGTACTTACAAACGCCGCGCCGGTTCTGCCTACCTTCTCTGCAGGACCCGTCGTCGCATCTGTAGTGGTCCCGAGTGGCCCCGCTTTATGGCTCACTAGACATTTATAGGAGAAAGTATATACATATATGCATATGCATATATACATGTATTTTACGACGAGTGATTTATTTCCGTGATATTCAGTGCCGTAGAAAAATGAAGTGTACGTATCGCGCTGCATCTTGCTTAGTTAGTGGACCGTGTAAAAAACGGGATTTCGCTAGCCCAGATGTTGAAGTATTTGATCGCAATAGCAGCATCTTGATTCCACCGAGTTCCAAAAAATTACAAGCAAGTGACAAATTTCGTCTGATTCAATATGGATCTTGTGGATTCGAATCCAACCATTTAGCCAGCCGAAGGTGAAAAGTGTTAAAAAGACACATGTTACCATGGTAAATTAAGTGTCAAATCACTAAGATTCAAATTTCTACCCATCATGTATGCTGATCGATTAATCTTGAAAATGAGTACAACGGTAGTTTTGTTCGGTTAAGCTTACGTGAGCCTTAAACTCGGGGGCAATGGGTCCGGTTGCCAGGACTCGTTTCGCCACAATAATTAGATTCAATAATGGTTAGGAAGATGAGGTAAGATGGAGAGATAGGTAAAAGAATTGAATCCATCGGTTGGAATAGCAGCAGACTGCGAGATAATACGTACAATCGCTGATCAACGAAGGTAGTCCTTGCTTCTCGCGAAGAGCTGCAACGCGGGAAACCACTGCGCGCCATGCCCCTCCTGGACTTGCTGCCGCGCGTACAACTGTATCAATTGAAAACCGGAGGCGAAATGCCCGCGCCTGCCAAAATGATAAGAAAAACAAAGGGAGAAACTGCGTATATATGCGCAGCTAAATGATTAAAGCAACGAGTTAGTACAAAAACAGCAAATCATTCCACAGAAGTTGGACCCAAGCTATTCTCAATCGGAAAAGTGTATCACTCTTCCTCAAACATTAGATGTACACGCATAAAAACATTGCGGTGAACATAAAATCTAGTGGGAGTAAACACTGGAATTATTGGACATAATCAGTCGTAATAAAGAACTGAATGACACAACTAGCCAGTGTCTACAAAAAACGACAGGTATAGCGTGCGTACACCCAAGAAGTGGGAAGATGAAGCTGGGGAAAAGAATACGCCCACACAGTGCACGGGTAGGAGTGACAAGGAGTAATGAATATCAAGGGGTCATACAGTATTTGGTGGGAATGAAAGCAGTAATTGATGTTGCACAAGTGTATGAATTAAGGGAATAAAGAAGGAGGTTCAAAGCAGTCACGAGGTCAAGCAAAGTGGACCAGAAGGCATTGTGAAACAGCATAACCAGACTAGAAAACCGCTGATATTTTTGTTTGGAAATTGCGAGAGGAAAATGAATTCTGCATCACAGCCGCATGTTCTTATTTCGTTAAAATTACGAAGTTGCAGCGACCTAAAGGGGTCTTATAAGCTGTGGTTTCCGGAAGCAAATGCATGCTTCCAATTATATTGGCACCCGGTGAAGCCTCTACATACAAACACAAATCAGGATAAAAGGAAAAAGGCGGCGGCCGTGGTACGCCGATACATCAACATCGACACTTTGCTGCAACACGATCAACAGGGGTAATGTATAGGTTATGAAGCATAGCGAGATCGCTTAAACAGAGCAGAACCGGTAGCATGTAAATAACATGCAAGACATTTGAGCCAATCGGACAGCGATAATTCAATTGCGATGAGTAAAAAACGTAGTCCACATACTGTATAGCAATACTAGCAGTTAAGACAAGAGTCTATATTGGAAGCACAAGATGCATGCTCATCCAAGGAAGAAAAGACGAACCAACTCTACCAAATCTCAGGCGGTCTTCAGACTTTTCCGTCACATAATAAGTCGGTCAACTAGCAGATTTACCAACCCCGATACAGTGAGAAACACACCACAGCTAATGTGCCACAATCAGTGAAGGCAATAATACTTGAGATCAATGGGTACAGGTACGGGTTTATTCAACTGCACAGGAAGGATTCCCATCACTTCGTAAATTCATCACTATCACTATAATGTTCACTCAGTGCGTCTACAGCTGAATACCGCACCAGACATTACCATCATTTCCAGGCCGACATGGTCGGCTATCGGTAGACCGAAACGGTGCAATGCGGAAAATACCGCAAGGAGTGCATCGAACAGTACCCTGTGAATATGTTTACAGAAACGATAAGTGAATCGGCATCTGTCAGGTTTCTGAAAACATACTTGGCATTCATTGAATAACCGCGTTGAATCTGTGGAGCGTTCCTCTTGACTGTGTGCGATCTAACCGAGGAAAGTCTATCCGGTCCGGACATATCATCACAGTGCTACGCAGCGCAGAATTCTAAAATCGCTGACGATATGGAGAAGCAATGCGCAGAAGTGTTCAATTCCACACTTCGCTGTTACACCAAGTTCACAGCATCTCTGTATCTGAAAAAATGACGCAAAGCCTGTTTTCCGACCCAAAAACCGGTATCGTATGTGTCTCTTAAGTTAGTTGACAATGAATTAGATCGCTTGGAGCAATCGAGGGTGATTTCTAAAGTGGAATACTTAAACTGGGCAGCGCGCATAGTGATAGTGAAAAAGGCAAACGGAACCATTTGCCTAGGTGGTGATTATGCACCCGCACCGAACGCAGCACTGAATCGTCATCAATACCCGCTGCCACTACCAGGCACAAGGATGGTCCAATTTTCTCAAAAGGTGGTCTCTCGGATGCCTATCTTCATGTCGTAGTCGATGATGACGCACGGCGCTTTCTTACAATTAACACTCACCGTGGTCTGTATCATTACAACCGGCTACCGTTCGGAGTGCAGGCTGCTCCGGGACTTTCAACAACTGATGGATGCTATGCTAACGGACATACCATCGTCTTGTGCATACTTGGAGGATATTATCGACGCATCAACTGACAGAACCCATGATAGCTGCCACCTATTGCATGTACTCGAACGCCTACGGAAATATGGTTTGACTCTGAGAGTTGATAAAGGTTATTTGTTTATGTCTCAACTGAAATACCTTGGTTTGAATGTCGATCGTGACGGGCGAAGACTTGATATTGAAAAAATTCGCGGCGAGGAAGTACCTGCACCACATGATATACCTACTCTGCAACCGTTCCTGGGCATGGTAAATTATTACAGTGAAATTATCCCTGATATGCATCGACTTAACGGGCCAATGAATGAGTTGTTGGGGAAAAATCGACCCTGGGTTTGGTCGTCCAGACGTGAGGAAGCGTTTAGGCTCATTAAGAAAACCCTTGTATCTGACTTAATGCTGGCACATTATGACGCAGAAGCAGATAGCATTGCCTCCGAGGATGTCTCTAGTTACGGTGTTGAAGCAGTTCTCCGTCAGCGATTCGACTGTAGCATCATAAGATCGGTTGCCTACGCATCACGTACATTAAGGAAGTCTAAGAGAAACAACCCACAGATCGAGAATGAAACACTAGCTTTAACTTCTGCTGTCAAAAAGTTTCATCGGATGTTGCAGGGTAAAGAATTCGTATTGGAGGCTGACCATAAACCATTGTTAGCCATTTTCGGTCCAAAGTAGGGTATAGCTGTGTACACGGCGAATCGCACTCAACGCTGGGCGACACTGTTGTGCATGCGTCAACAACAAATTTCAGCTACGCCGATGCGCTGTTTCGACGTGTCGCAAAACAGCCGAGCATCGAAGAAGAGCAGGTGATCACTTCAGTTGCGTTTGAATCAGACGTGAAACAGTTTCCGTGTAATTCAATCAGAGCTCTCCCGATTACTTCTGTGGACATTTAGGAGAACATCAAACTCCAGCCACTTTTGCAAAACGGTACTCGTTTTTTTAAACACAAAGTGGCCAGACCGCATTACTGATACACTTTAAAACAATGTATTGTCAACGTGACTCGTTAGCACTAGTTGGTGATTGTGTTATGTTCGGTGAGCGCGTGATTGTTCCGAAATCCCTGCAGGCAAGGGTATTAAGATATTTTCACCTACATCAACCCGAAATATCACGGATGAAAGCATTAGCAAGAAGTTATCTATACTGGCCTTTTATTGACAACGCTGTCCTTGATTGTGTTGCCAGGTGTAGCAATTGTGCATCAGCATCGAAACTTCCAAACAAAAGCATCCAACCCTGGATACCAGCCTCTAAGCCTTGGGAGAGAATTCGCTGGTCCATTGCAAGGCCAGTGTTTTTTGGTTGTGATTGATGCGTGTGCTAAGTGGCCGGACGTATACCAGATGAACACAACCGCGGCAGCAGCCACAGTATGAAAACTACAACAGTTACTTGCACAGTTCGGTACAACAAACACCTTGGTTTCCGATAACGCATCGCAATTTATATCCGACGATTATGGTGTTTTCTGTCAGGGTAATGGTAGCAAGCACTGCCGGTCTTCTCCGGGACGTCCTCAGTCCAACGGTCAAGCAGAAAGATTCGTGGATACCTCCAAATGTTCAGTACTAAAACTGCGGGGGAAGGACCGACAGAGGAGATCATACAGCTGTTCCTGTTAACATATCGGGCTACGCCTAACCCATCTGTACCAGGCAGCAGACCCTCAGCGGAACCCATGTTCGGGCGAGATACGTCGTACCAACTGATGCAATACGCTCTAAGGTTACGCAACGGCTCCTGGCGTCAGGCTTGAGCAGAAGTTCTCTACTGGGGGAGCCGGTGTACGCGTTGGATACAAGGTCAAACCATCAAACCTTGAAACCTGCAGTGGTACAAAAAGAAAAGGCACTGTGCTGTACGAGGTGACTAACGGACCGTTGTCTTTCGTTCAGCACGTGAATCAGTTACGCTAACGACGGATCGAACACACAATCTCTTCTACTTTCGAGTTGCCGTTCGATGTACTGCTGGACACGTTTGAACTTCCAAAAAAACTGTGCAGCATAGTGAGCCGACTGAAACGCGCACAGAGCCATGCCACGGAGACCTACGCGGACAACTAAACCGATCCGACGTTTACAGATGAACCAAGCACTTCATTCGTATGAGTCTGGAGAGCATGTTTTCAAAGGGAGAGATGTTACAGCAGGCAAACCGGTTTAAAAACACAGACTGTTTTATGAATCTTGGCCGGAACTAGGAGCGGCTGCACTCAGGTGCTGACGTACGCCGGTACGCAAATTGCTTCTCCAGCAGGGGTGAGATGGGACACAGAGAAGCGACATGTGTGCCTACAATCGCAGAGCACACCGAGCCCTTGGGCTGTGAGAAGTGAACATCAGCCAGACACCACAGCCGCAATGAATGCGTCATGTCTCGATCGCATGCCCTTCAGCTGTGAGAACTGGACGTTAGCCAGACACCACAGCCGCACTGAACGTGTCATGTTTCCATCGATCGGTAGTCGGCCTTCACGCATGAGAAGTGATTAGTGGGTCACTGTGCTAGCAGCTGAGAAAAACAGCCTGGCCGTATGTGATGACCGGCCGATGGGCGCCGTATTGCTATCGCCACAAAAACGGTTATCGCCTCATGATTGGCTTCCAACAAACCCGTAAGCTTTAATTAGGCTGCTTTCACTGCTAAAAGAAATCATACTGCCAGGAGCACAAGGTTACAGTGTTGTTCGCTTTACCGTTTCGATCGTGTGTGTGTTACAGCTGAAAATCCAGACTTCATGGGTGCATAAAAACGATTTCTTGACTTGACAATGCTCTTAGATTTCAGTCTGAAGCGACGCACCGGTTGCACCATTAGACAGCACACCAATTTAGTCATGAATACAACTATTACCCTAACAATCAG